TGTTAGACTGTTGATAACAGTAAACAGCTTTCTATACAAACCATAAAGTGGATAAATGCATCAGCATTATCAGCAACTATTTATCGAATTCGTTCTGAATGCTTACTCTATATGCATTCTCATTGTCAAACTTTTCAAACTTCATTCTTTGTGTATAATTATTACCATATTCAGCTAAACTGGAAAAACATCATACTTACAAACACTAAACGTAGTGAACACTTTTTGGCAGAACGTAAATACCATGATACAGGTGACTGTAAATGTGTAGCTGAATTACTTATGATATATCCTGTAGAAAAATACTTTTCTTACTGAGAATCTCTGAAGTATCTAGACTTTAAAACACTAACTTTCTCTGGATCAATATTTATTCATATTCATAACTTTCAACACCCAAATTAATTTTAAAATATCACTTGTGGAAATTTTAGGGATGCGGTTGTATAGCTTCATCGAATATGTATAACAAGCCTCTAGCGTTATCAACAAATAATGTGTTTAGATTGGGAAAGAGTTATGAATTACCAAGTTGAACGTGACATCAGTTGAAAACAAGTTCAAAGGCGTAGATTGGCAAGAAAGACAATGATGCAAATTTTATTTGCCTTATGAATTACATTTATTTCTAAAACTTGCAGATTAGCTTAAAAATGAAGGTGGTTTTGAAACAGAATTCTCAATGTGAACAAATAGACTTATAACAGCTATTGCGGTGAACTTGTGAAAGCTAGCCTACATTGTTTATCACTTTTTTGTCCACTGACTCAATGGTAATTTGTTTATCCCATAAAGTGAGTTCTGTCTTTAATGCCTGGTTGGTTGATGGGTGCACAGTGTTGAAGAGTCTGAAACGAGTACAAAATAACCGCGGAGTACTCTCTGGTTTCCAGTGATTTGTGAAGAAATCTAACTTGACAGAAATATTGTGTTCACAGTACTCACAGTATACAAGGTACTCCATTTGTATCAGTCGTAAATGAATAATGACTGCTGAAATCAATTAGTACAAAACGGCTTTCAGTAAATACGCCTGCAATTTATTTGGAGAAATCAGTTGCAGTCCTAACCTTAGTTGGTTATTTGATTGAATCTAATGAGATGGAACTCTCAGGTCCAAAAACAACAAGCCGAACACAGCTGGTATTTTGAGGACAAAGCCACAACGTATAAAAAGAGCATAAGTTTTGTTTAATGATTTCTGAGCTAAGATAATTATTGACTTTTCAATGTTAGGCAAGCTGAACTTGACACAATAAAATAATTGCTATAGAAAATATCCAGAGCGATGATGAAAAGGTGACAAAATCGTTGAGATCATGTGCGAACTTCTATGGTTCACTTAAATTATAAGCTTCGTTACTTAAGCTTAAAGAAAACATTTTATTGGTTACTTTGATCGATCAAGGCTAACTTTCAATTGCTGCAAAAATTTCCTCATCAACGCTTTTTCTGCAAAGTCTACACTAAAGGGAAAATAATCGAAGAAGACTGAAATGTTACTGTAAATGTCGCAGAAATGCTTTAATATTTATCGAAACATATGTGTCAGAAATAACACAATTCAAGACATTTTACAAAACAGTTCACCATGGGATTACATGAAGAAATTCTAAAATTGTCTGGAATCATCTTCTTAGTTATTTCGGTAGCTGTTAAACAAATATTTGTCAGTTTTCTTCTTTCACGGTGCTGTGTCTTAGAAACAAGTAGCCTTTACTTACGTTGATAAGAATTCTCGAACTTACTAGGGGAATAAATTTCGGTTCCGGAATATGGTCGAACATATTATCTGAAATGGATGCAGAATTCCGTCAACCCAGGACATTCTAGATTCAAGAAAGGCAAATTATGTGCTGATCAAACTGTAACCCTATATGTCATTATCGAACAGAGCATAGAACAGTAATCAAATCTCTAGCTCAATTTAATCGACTTTGAAAAGACCTTCGGCAACGCTGACTGAGAAGTAATTTGGAAACTGCCTCAACACTACAGCATGCAGTGCCCAAGTCTTTATCAACCTCATTCAACAGATATATGACAACGGAACGTTTCAAGTGATCCACAGCGCAAAAATCAGCGAAGATTTAAAAGTGAAGACATTTCTAAGTGTAGTGGACTGGGTTATTTGCCAGACTGTTGGAAGCAAGAAGACAGAAATACGTTAGACCAAAAAGAAGAGTCTAGAAGACCAGGATTTCGCAGATAATTCAAGTTTATTGGCACACAGACTCGAAGATTCGCCGGCGAAAACCAACCAACTGGCAAAGAATCAGACAGCGAATACCGGAATCCAGATAAATATAGAGAAGATGGAGGTGATGAAGGCAACCAACCAATAACAACCAGCACCAATTACCAAACGAAAGGGGAATATTTGCAAAAGGTCACTCCTATCACTTATTTAGGAAGCATGGTTTCAACTAAGGGCGTTAGCAACGATGAGGATGTCAAAGCTAGAATGAAAAAGTCATAGTAAACCTTCTTCACTCAGAAATCAGTGTGAAAATCCCCTGCACTCAGCAGCATAAATAAAGATTCGCTTTTAAGCACTTCTTCACTTGTTCCACGTGGGTCAGAAAAGCGTCGCGAAAAGTACTTCCAACAGGCTACTGCAGACTTCTATCAACAGCTGCACCCGTTGGCTCCATATTGAAGACCAATTGGCCGGAAAGAATTAGCAACAAGTAACTATGAGAGAGAACCAGCCTAGCAGCGAGTGCTAACCAAACCTATTGGAGAAAATGGAGATAGATTACGCATACTCTGGGTAGACTATTGGGTAATATCACGTGCTAGGTCCTCGAGTGAAATCCGAATGGGAAACCACGATTTGGGCGTATTTTGGAGTGTAACACGGAGGTGATTGTATAGCAAGGAGGAGACTAGAAGCTATGGTCAATTGTGGGTCCGGCTAAAGAGGACATTTGAATAAAGCAAGAACAACAGTAGTTTGAGCAGAATAATATGGTACCATCATTTATTCGGTTGGCTTCTCATCCACTCAGCTGCTTACAGCCTAAATAAATTATGAGGTTTATTTACAGAAAATTTCTAACATACACGCTAATTTAACATGATGTCAGTCGACAGAAAGTTCCGCAATTAGTGAACAGAAGTGAGAAAATTGCCCTCATATAGTTTTAACACAGGCAATTCAAGTCTAAACAAAATAGAATTCAGTCTGCACCAAAGAAAGGACTAGACACATGACACTAGTTACTAGTGTCCAATCACAGTACCTACCACAGTCCTACAGGAGTTTAATCGCGTCCCCGAATAGCTCAGAGGTATCGTCTCTGGCTGCAGCACCGGGGACGCGGGTTCAAATCTCAGAAGGGACACGAGTTCCTTCAAGGTTGCAGATACGCCTTGCCGACAAGTGCCAACAAGCACGAAACCTAGGTCCGAGGATTCTTGCCGATTTTCTCCAACCACCTAATATCACGAAATAAATGTAAGCATACAATGGTAAAGGAGTTATGTAATAAAGAGAGATGCGTAAGATGCTGAGTGACTAAGAAATCAGGTAACAATGTACTGAGTTCAACTCAAATCATAGAAACAAAACACAAGCAAAATTAGAAATTATAAAAGGGGGTTGAGGTTAAAGCCAAAGATTACGTAATCAAATAAAAGAGATAATAATGACATCCAGTTACCACGGCAAAGAAAGACTAATGACTGCTTCTTTCTGAACATTTAAATCTGGTTTCAAGCGTTAGATAAAAATTGCTTCAGTGAACTTTAGGAGAATTGAGCTCCTCTGTCTATTGATAATTTTAAAGGATTTTGTGATTTCCACCTAATGTTCCCTATCAAGGAGATGCCTGGTGATGGCACTATTATAATTGTTTGTTCTCTTGAGACGTAGGTTTTTTAGTACATGTTCATAAAATCGGAGGTCAGTCCTTCTTTCCGTTCTCCCAATGCAACTGCTCCCGCATACACACGTAAATTTGTATACAGATTTGGAGTTAACATGAGAAGGGTATCTTTTGACTTTTGACTGCATCAAAGAACATGTTACCCGATAGACGGCAACCAACTTAGCTGCAGGATAGGCTCTGGTTAGTGACGTACTCAGTCTTCTGTTGACCATTGCTGCAATGTTTTCACCTTTAAAATCTAGTTGAATGAAGACAGCCATTTTTTCCACTGTAATTTGTTTGACTTTTGGCCCTTCACATCTTCCATATTTGTTAATGAATCTTGGAGGATAACCATTGATTTTCAACACCTTTTGGAGGACAGCCGAAAATAGAACAAATTGGAGACGAGGTGTTGAAGCTCTATGTTCCACTCAGAACCCAGGAGAACAATAGTAAATATTATATGTAGCTCAATATAATCTCTTTAAATGAATGAGTTCATAATTAACAAGCTTTCAAATACCATTGGGAACATAAATTTCACTTCTTGAGTGGTTTTGCAAGTAATGGTATGTTTATGTCAAAATACAGCCATTGTAGGTTTATAATTTTATTGATATTTTTGTTAATATCAATGTCATATTAATTATATTTCCCTTATAGTGTATTATTAAGAGAAAACTAGATACAATGTTGTACTACATACTGAGAATTCCATACTGCATATGATTTGCTGTTTGGTATAAATCCATCGTTATCATTTAAATTACTAGTATTATTATTGAACTTAGCGCAGCAGCTGCAGGCGTCGTCAGCCACCTTATCAACTTATTTTTCTCATCACTAAAATTCATTTCTCATACTATGATGCTTACTTTTGTTCTCAAAATCATTTTCTTCCACAGATAAGCACTGCCTTTCAAAACATTTCACTTTATCATGGTACCAAGTGATGAACATCGGCGTCATTCATATCACAAATATGTTTCCCGATAAACAATTATCCTCTTTATCGTTTTATTATTTTTTTATGAGGCGTAGATCATGTGTCATGCTTATCATTGACGGTGTACAGTATAAAAAGGGCTGTGAGATTGTCACAAACTACAATACAACATTTGCAAAATGCAAGGCTTCCAAATGATCCTATTTGTTAGCATTTTTCTAACATCTACAATTTTGGGTAAGTAGTTAATTTTTGTAGTGGATTTGTTATCGGTATCATAGTATAAACTCTGTATTTAATTACTAAAGTTATCATCTAAAGCAGAAACACTACAACTAAATTATTGCTGCAGGAACTAAGACAAAGTGTTATTTAACATTAAAGACTGTTAATAACCCTCCATAACCCTATAAAACCGAATCTCCATCGAAATAATCCAACTAATTTACGCTTGAAATTACACTGCCTGTCAAGGAATGAATGCTGCGAGAAACAAATTATAAATATGGAAAGCTGTTAAGGTGATATTTTGTATTTACAGTTCTCGTGGAGTTCAGTCCTCAAAATATGCACTCATTTGACAGCCTTAGTCAAGTAACTGTAGCGGTTAGAGCAAAAACATTTTGAGAATGAGTAACTGCGTTTCGTACGTATTTTTAGTGATTCCTCCATCAACTGTAGATGATTTCGCCTAGTTACTAGATGGAGAGTGCCATTGTCAATAAGGCAACGGACTACAAGAAAAGCATTTTATTTTGATGTAATATGTCTATGCTTGACAGCTTTGATCTGATAAACCCAAGTGTTAAGATATTCTGAAGATGTGTTTTGTGTGGCGATATGGTGGCAGATGAAAGTGCCTAACTACATTTCGCCTTGAAAAATCTCAGACAGTTGAATAGAACCATTTTCGTTCAACAAATATTGACCACATGTTTACGTGGAACATTTGACAGATTATCATTAAAAACTTCAGGAAATATGTGAAATTAAAGGTTTTATTTACAAATACTTTCATGATGTTCTCTGGTTTCGTTTTTTTTATTTTGAGTCCTTTACATCTTTCACAGTGTCCATTTAAACAAAAACATTAATCATAATAACATCATGATTGGAACCTTTATTTGATTTTCTGAACATTTCACATAGCCGAAAAAAGCTGTAAGTTAGTTGAATATTTCAAATAAAACCTGTGTATCTGAATATACTGTTACAGTGAAACTTATTACACAGAGTAAATATTCATTCTATTTATTTGAAGGAAAATCTTAATACACAAAATTTTTCAGAGGTATAATGCACTTATGGGGAGCAACAGTACACTAGCATGACGATCAGAATAGATCAACTGCTGAATATTCCCAATAATATGAGCATAGTACCACTCTTAAATAACTTTGGCGTAAAATGCATTTTACTAAGGGACTGTTAAGTTTTCCTGTAGTAAGGTTAATGTGGGAATTGTCCTGAATTTCGAAATTTAGTTCCTCGAAATTCTTCCAAATTTTCCTAAATACATGTGTACACTTGTATATTGTTTCTGTAACAAAAAAAGTTTTATGGTTATTAATAACATATTCTACCTCGTTATATAAGTTATTTTAATCCACCACTGACATGGACACTTCAGATAACTCATCATTATGTCATATATTAACAGGGGATTTCAGTCAGAAGACACTCATTATTTCATCTACATTTTCATGAGAACAAACATGATAAAACAAACTGTTATGCTAAGTCGACGTGATTCACTGTGTGGTATATGCATATACCTCCTTCATCAGAAGATGATAAAAGGTCAAAAGCAAAACAGAAATAGCGGGGAAAATAATAATGATAGCATAAAAAAGCGAGAATATAAGGCATCTACCATTATACCATATAAGGAGGGGACATATGAGACCCTAAGTAGGATTCTTAATAAAGCAGGCATTCAAACCTACAAACTCACTCAGGTAGGACAAGCTCTGCAGGTTAAAGGACCCAGTTGACCCGATTAGACAAAATAATATAATTTACAAAATACCCTGCAATGACTGTGAAGTAAGTCAACTACATAGGTGAAACTAGCAGGTCGGGACAGTCAGCTTGTCGGAACATAAGAATTTAGCTAAGGCAAGAATGTTTGACCCCACGAAGATAAGTAATTTAGAAAAAAGCTCATCACTACATTGCAATGTATGCATTAACACACCACCACACAATAGGGTGGGTCGGACAAGGTTAAAACTCTAAAAGGTAATCTAAGTAGGTGGAGAGAGGGATTGATTACTGAATCCTTGTTCATCGTGTCTACACCCAACACTTACAATAGGAATGATTCATCACTCATACGGAAAATATGGAAAATACTACTACCAATTAAGTCAAGCGATGGAAAATAATGGAATTATATAAACGAAGTTAGAATGTTGTGTGAGTACCTTGATATGATTACGAGCCAGTAAAATTGTGCTTGAAACGTCACCAGTAAATATTACCATATGACACTGTGAGACTTTATCATAGTAAAAATTTTGCCCATAATGGAATTATACTCTAACGCAGTGTACAAGTTCTAATCTTATATCAATGCTTTCCGTTATCTAAAAAGCCGTGAAATATTATCACATCGAATTTATGTTAAAGTGATTAAACTACCTATTAGAGTTTTGCGATACTCTTTCAAATTTCTTGGAAACAAATACACCCATATAAGTTAGCATACCTTTGTGATGCGTGACAAGGGAAACCTATATGGAAAGTTTTACCTTTCACACTTCAAGTCTCATGAAAAACTTTATGATTTTTTTCATTTTATGCAAATACAGTCTATCCATCTGGTATGTTTGTTTTGAATATTACTCAATTTTTTGTTGTTGATATGTTCTATTCATACAAGATGTCACAAGAAGTTCTTTGGAAATTATACATTTCGACATAGTTCTCAGTTATACATAGTTTCCATAGATCTTTTAAAGGATTCTATGATTGGTCACTATTGAATGAAGGGATGCAAACTGATGCTGTTAAGGTGAAGAATGACAGTAGAAAATGCTCATAACACATGGAAAATATTGAAAAATACTAGTCATCTTTAATACAACTTCTCTTGAGCTTAAGAATAGCATATTTAATATTCAACTAAATCTACCTTTGGACCAGATGGTAATCCAGGGAGTAAAACATAAGCATTATAGGTCATTGCTGACGAAACGGGTGCATGTTCAATGGATCCCTTAACTTCAACGTTTAGAGTGACAACTGTACTAAAACTTCGGTGGATCAACAACCAAGGTCTTTGATGGACTACATACATTCCTCTTTTTCAAAAAGGACTATTTACGACATTCTGAATAATTTCATATACTGAACAGTTATGACAACGAAAGTGAGGAACACATTTCTGCATGTGTTCAAATAACCAGTTCGTTTAAGGTTTCCGTAACAGATATCCATCACCTTCCTTACTTTGTTAAACTTAACTGAAGTTGTTCAGCTTGAGATCTCCTTTGTAGTCAAAGTTAATAGAAAAAACTAAAATCGTTTATTAGCTTGAGAAAGTTAACAAATAATAATTCATCTCAAATAACAAAGATCTTGGAGATTCGAAAGTTTTAAGATGTTTTTCCCAGCATGTGCCTCCGTAAAACTGTATGACTATTTGAAAAACATTACACCGATTCAGAATTAAACTAACCATTTCTTTCTTTCAATAAAACAGATAGCGATTATAGAACAAGTGAGTATAACTTACAGACGAAAAATATGGTCATAAGCAAAAATGTACAATTCCATTTTGTCGTTGCTTTAAACGTTTCTACTGAAAAACACAATTGTATGTGTAAGAATCTATTGAAACTGTGCAATGAGGAAATGATGAAAAAGATAAGCATACAACAAACAATGAATGACAGATCGCATAAAGCTAAAAACAGCATTCCATTAAACTGAATACTCACAGTTTCAAAACAGAAATATACACTATTTGTTTTACATAACAATACTGTTGGACGATCTTAGTCGTTATAATCCACTCATGTCAAACAATAGTTATTTCTGTCTACACTAAAGTGATAAGAACATGGAAATACAGTCTCGCTGTACTTGAGACTGCTTAGAACCATCTTAGAAAGTTGAATTCAACCAACCGAATTCTGAGGCTTTCTGTTAATACGTAAAATCAAATAGGCAAACCACAGATTTCGACGAGAAAACTCACCTTGAACTTCAGAGGTGATTACAGAATTAAGAACTGTAGGCAAAAGGCAACTCTTGCTTCAAGTAAGAAAGATCATGATACATTCATCGTAGGAATACAATAAATAATTCTGAAAAAGTACCCATCACATTGAAAACTTCATCAAAATATTCATCTTTTAATTGATTTATTTTGTTTGATATTAAATATTTATTTAATAAATACTTTCTTATTGCATGCCTTGGCGTGCATAAATGCAACTTATGTAATAGAGGAAAACCACGCAATTGAAATTAAACAATTATATAATGAAATATTACACATTAAACGATGACTGACCATCCAAAGTCAGTGACAAAGGTGCAACAACACTGGAAATCGTTAAGTACTTTGTTTCTCAATTTCATGACAAGTATTAGTCAGCATATTGGTAAAGGCTGTCTTCTTCCCCTTGTGAAAACGTTTATATATATATTTATTTTCTAAAGAGAAATATTGTATGATACTTTTTTTATAATTTATACTTTGCTTTTCATAACCTCCAGGTGTACAAACTGCTGTTCAAAGTGAGTTCCAAAAAATACTGGAAATTTCCATCCTTCTTTAGTGGTTATATGCAGAAAAAGGTTGATTTGTTGCCTTGTTCCTAAAGGTCTCCAAGCAAAGATGGACATGAACACTATTCAGACAATGGGCAGACTAATCAAGATGCAAGTTTTCAAAGGCAATAGATGAGCATACTGCTGTTTAAGCCTTTGAAAATAACAGTAATAAAAAAGACGACTCTCACAGTTTCGATGCACTTAAATTTTGTCAGACAACATATACACAGAAATGATCGCAAAATAATTCATATGGGTTTAAACCAATGCTGTATTGTTGCATGCAAAAGACAGATTTATCCGAGACTTTGATATTCATCTACCTATAATTGACTACTCAAAGCTTTCCAACATATAACTTATTCCACTAAAAACATTAGGCAATGTAAAAATAAGAATGAAAATCTTCAATATGCAAGAAAAGGAAATACATTCAGCAAAAGGCGACTCTTGTCAGTGACAGACTCATTAGCAGTACTACAAAGGCATATAAATACTCCATTAACTTGCTAAGGAAACGACAATATTTTTGAATTCCTATCAGGTTGCTGCAGTTTCGACTAATGATCAGAACATTCTAACATAATTCTGAAACCAAAATGTAATAATCTCGTTCGAAAACTTTAGAAATAAGGTATGGTTCAGTAAGTAGGATGGAAGACAAGAAATTACGAGGCAAAACTGTTTGCATTGTAGGGTGTGGTATTCAACCTTTCAGGAACAAATATTTTGATCTCATTCTAGATATTGGAAACCTCAAGGAATTAATTACTTTAGGCTGCTGACAATTCATCTTTGAGCTGAAGTGTTTGTAAGAAGGAATGCATTCCAAAGGGGCAATTTAATTTAAAAGTATTGAAGATACTTAAAATAAAGTATCTAGACTTAGAAATAAGAAAATAATTGTCGCTAAATTGTAGGATGATACCTGTAAAAAGTCAATATATGGCTGTCAGTGAAACATTCAGGCAAACCATGTTATAATTTTCTAATCATCCGGGATTATTTCAAATAAGTTTATAATGATTTAACCTGACTTGGTGCTCAAACCCTTCCATAAAATTCCCAGTAACCATGGTCTGAATATTTATAATCTAAACATGTATATAGTTCAGATAAAAAGCAATAGTTGTACCAGTGTTATTGCAATGATAAGATATTTTCTTTCATAACCTCGCGATAGCTCAGAAGGAGAATTAGAGCATCACTCTGAATGTAATCCTTAACACTCTTGATTACATGTAGAATGAAGTCAAAATAATTTAACATTGTTCATTTATGTTTTACTGCTTCATTTTCAGGTTTAAGAAAACTTACAGGAGGTAATTTACCTTTCAATGATTATTGTGCATTCACATATATATGATATATATATATATATATATATGTATATATATATTAGTTTACCGTATCCATACATTACCAGTAGTGGCAGTTCACACTTACTTTAAGTCGCTATTATTGCACTTCTGCAATGTCTCACTAATCAATCCTGCTTTTCCTGTGATACGATGAAGTAATGTTTACAACGCTATCACTAAAACATTTTTCATTAATGCGTGCTGCCATTCTAGACGACACCACGTTAATGGGCATTTTCAAAAGTCGAAGCACCTTATGACAAAACCTTTAGTTACACTGGAAACAGACGAAAGTTATTAAATAAAAGTGAAGAAAAAACCATCAACAGTTCGGTACTAGACCACCTGGTTCAAACCAGCCACAAAGCCAGCACTGAAGAATCCGTCTCTACCGGGTACCAAATAAACTGCCAAACCATCCAAGTTCTCAGTACACCGAACAGCAAAGGCTATTGCAATTTGGACTATAATCCATCAGCAATCTATTTGCAAACAAATTTTGGAATTATGATCTAAATGATTCGATGTTACCCTTTAAGAAGCACTAATGCTGTCAATAACAATCATTCTTTCATTATTATAGATACATAACTGTAGTGCATGATGATGAAGTTATCGAAAAGAATTTTTTTGCTCAGTGCTCAATCTTTTGAATGTGATTAGTTTATTGAAAACACAGTGAAATTTCAATAACAAATTGTAGGTGTCACGAAGAAAGTACAAAATAAAACTTCGCAAAGTTTTTCAGGCACCTCCGCCTGTTGTTTGTCATCACTGATGGCTAAAATTAGTGTGGTTTGAACGAAGATGAAGATTTAGTCAGGTCATTCGAAAGGTTATCAAAAGGCTTCTTTGTCACTTTAATTACATGACTGTGTCTAGTTTGCCCTACTGATGTGATGTGAACCACCTTTTTCAGTCATCAGCCTGTAAAAGTATAAGCCTACTTTACTCTTAAACGTTAATCACATCACAGCAAACTTCAAACAAGTGATCATTGCAGTTTATATTAAGTTAAAGTTTGCAGTTTTAAACAAGTCTCATATTCTACCTTTTCAGATGAATTGGGAGGTAAGTTCAAAGGTCTGTTGTATACACAGAAGTTTTTGAAGTCTTTTACATTTAGAGAAAACCCTCACCATAATGGAATAAATTATCCAATTTCTTCTTGTCTCACTCAATCTATTTTAATATCTTAAATCTTGATAACACATAGTTGAAAATTATGTCAGATTTTACATTTTCAGTGATTGAGAACTATAGCAGAAGATCTCAATACCCTCCTTGTAAAGCTGAATAAGTCCACAGTGCCAGGTTTTACAAACATATTGAATAAGTCTTGTTTTTGAAATGTGGATATCAGCAAAGATTACAGCAAAATCTGCCCTATCATTTTTAACAACATTAACAAAACGCAATATCTTTATTAAATGCGTCGGTGGCACAGTGGTTAGGATTCTCGCCGACCATGCACATGGTCTGGGGTTCGATCCGCTGCCGATGCACACCAGATATCAATGGTCGGCCTGCAAAATTTGGGCTACCGATATCGCATACTGAGAATTCCATACTTGTACCGAAAATACGGTGTGGAATCAAGCTGTGATCAAAAAAAGAAATTATTAAAAAACAGATCCTTTGTCAAATGGTCAAAAGTAGTTGAGACTAAGAATCTACGGAATAATCCTTACAAAGGTAGACCGTAAGGATGGTATTACAGTCGTTATTATCACTACACACTCATTTCATCAAGTCAAAGTAAATATGCTTGTGTTAAAATAGTTTTGTAATCACTCATATGAGATTGTATTATATTTTCTCCTGCACTCAGTTGATCGCTGTAAGTTGTCAACAATAGGGAGCCCTATTTGATGTCATCACTTATTGGTTCAGTTAATCATATTTTTGAAAGTCAAACCCTAATCGGAATGTCGTTGCTTTTACTTTCATTGCAGTGTTGACTGGTATGTAACACATTAAATATTTTACAAATGGTAATCTTATAAATTTTCAAAGATTATCGAATAAGTAAATTGGTATTCACATTTTTAAAGTAAGCCAGGTGTTATACAAAATTAGAAGTGTGATAATGATACCAATAGTGATGGCGAAGATGACGTGAAGTGGAATAATATCAAGTGACAAAGTAAACTACTAAAAGAAGGAAATCACTATTGACCAAGATGAAGAAAACCGCTTAATAAAACGTGTTTAACTACAGAGTTTAGGTTTTTTCCATGTATAGCTAAAGCTTTAGCCATGTATAAGTGGAAAAGGTGTAAGCTTCTAGAGCAACTAAAATGTGGCCCTGTAGACAACTTTAAAGGACGAATCACAAGAGCAAGAATACCCTGACTCAAGGTGTTCGCAAATGGAAGATTTCGTTATCTTATGCCCACCTTTCATCAACCAAACCAGTTAATGTTCAGTTTTGCATTTCCAGAGAACAATATCCGACGTAATCAGCTCCACAGGACCAAGTAAAAGAGTAGATGCATATAGAGGTAGAAATAAGAGGCAGTTTAACTTTGACACAGTGACAGATCATACTTCGGCTGAAGAATACTACATGTAAGTCAGAATTATAGAAAGATAGTTGGATGAACACTGTTTAGTCATTTCAACAATACTTTCACCCATGAATTCTTTGACACTATGATTTGTCTAGGAACATTTTCATTTTTCATGTTTCATTCAACAAACAAGAGGTTTTCTAATTCTTTATCTGGTGTATCAAATCTTAGATTTCAAAAATATTAATGGCATAACTCGTTACAGCTACAGTGTTTTGATTATCCCCTTACAGAAGTTGACAGTAAGTTGATTCATTTTGTAGCATATTCAGTTGTTCTACACCGTTGCGTGATTTGGTCATGAAAATCGTTTCTTTAACACTGAGGCTTGTCACTATTTCTGTATAGTCTTCATACTGTTAACAGAACAAACTAAGAGGTTTTAAAACCTTAGAAACCATCTCGGATTTTAAAGGAAATACATTCTTGCAAATAATTCTCTTAAGCATGAAAATAACAAGCAATTTCATTATACAAATATAATAAACTTTTAGATTATTTCAGTAAGTTTAATCTATGTATCACAGATTTATTATAGTGAACTGAAGCAACTGACATGAATTAGGAAAAAGAAAGACAAATTAAATATTAAATATTACTCCATTAGGCGTGATTTTGTTTAAAGCACCAATGCATTCTTACGAAGGAGAAGAAAGTTCGCGCTTAAGCTAAATGTGAGCCAACAACATTAACTATAGTTATCATATTCTGTTAAACTCGGTCAACTTTCTACAAAATGATTGCTTGAATCTACACAAGCCATAAGCGTAGCAAATGAATGTGTTTCATACATTCTACTGATAAACACTTAACGTGAATTGCAGACTGCATGAGTGAAAAATGACTTTTCTCGAAAGACTATCCAAAGAATCTATTTTACATTAAGGACAGCAGAGTAAAGCTGACTCAGATCGTTTTAAAAATTCCATTTGGTGAAAATACATTAATTGATTAATTTATCGCTCTTAAGAGCTTCTTTTTCGGTTACCATTAAAACGTGAAGATAATGTTTCACTGCATACATACTATAGTTAGGAGCTGAAAATCTGTAGCGGGTCAAAAAAAATGATAGAATCGAAGAACATCTATTTTCAGAATATATTCGTAAATAAATAAGTATTTACTGATTAATTAACCTCCACAAATTCTCTGACCAATTATTACAGGTTCTAAATGTAAGTTAGTTTGCCTAACAATGGCTTTTGGAGTTGAACTGTTATCATTTTCTCATCTTAAGGCTACTGGTGAAAATAAGTTAAAAACGACAGAAGAGTTCGACGTAGCTGACCCTAAGATGCTCACATTTCAAAGCCTAGTGGGATATTTTATTTACAGAAATTACGTGGCACATGGATTTTGATCATTTGTCAAGTTGTCTAGTAACACATGAAATACTATCCGGCCTACATTAGCCAGGGTTTTTGAGTTTAAAGTGCTCTGATCGAAATGCAGGCATTCAAACACATTGGATTACCACTGAACCAGAATTCGGACTTATTTATTTTATTGTACTAGAACAAATGGGCAATGCTACCGAAGAGTCCCAAAGTAAGACGAAACAGCTGTCCAGTACTTCCAGGTTTTCCGGTGGTTCTCTAACTGATGTCAGCTCATGATGAAATCCTCCATCCAATATCTTATAAAAGTGTAGAAAATTTACGCGTAAGGTATGAAATTTGTTCATTAGTTCGAGTTCTGTGATCCAGTTATGCACCTGAATTCCTTTCATTTGTCAACAGACGAAGTCTGTCATTTTTCAGTAGGCTTTAAAACGAGGTATGAGACATAAGAAAATATAAAAGATAGTTTAGGATGTATTCACTGAATGGGGATAATTTATGTTATAAGGCAGAATAGCGAACATACAGCATTCTAGATAATTACTAAATAGAAATATTAGTAGTATACTGATGATAAACATATGCAAGTCCAATCAATTACGGAAAACTGAAATTGTAGGAGAAAGTTCTTTAGATATCAGTCACCTTTATTTTCCAACACACCTAATGGTGAGGGCATTTTGAAACCTGTGAATATATTTATCTGAATAAAGGCACAATACGTGAGTTTACAACTTGTCCATAATGGTTTTTGATATGCATCATATATATTTTGATAGAAATAGCCTGATGACAATCCTAAGATTCAATTTAGAAATGGTTATAAATATCAAAATTTTGATAAACTTCGTATAAATTCCATCACTTCAGCATCTGGAGGGGGTAAGTTTATTCAAATAAAATTTGCCTGATTGAACTTCCAATATAGACATACCAGAAAGTGGAACTAGATAAGTCTAAATGAAATCATGAAGCCAGGTCGAGCATAAGGAACCAGTATCTTCTTTTGTGTTACAATTTAAATACAGTTAAGCTCTGGACTCCAGAAGTCAAACAATAATTGAAATACCTCTGAAATCCTTAATTCTTTCGGTGCGATACCACTACACATCAGCCCATCAGCCCGCACGAACGCTCAGTTAGACTTCAGTTAGGTCTGCATCCATGAAAACCATACCTGTTAGAAATGAATCAACCTGCGAATCAAATTAACATTTTTTCGGAAATCATAACTTTTATACGTTGAACTGTTTTTGTTACCTCCTTTATAAAAGCAAATCTTCTCATGTGGGTAGACGCTCACATGACTCTTCTAAAGGTTTTGCTAGTTTTCAATCTATTGCACTATAATTTTCCAGGTCTTTCTTCTAATGTTTCTCATTTGTTCTCTTCACTGTGCAGAAGAACCTGCTGTCTGTAAGTCCCCACTGAATATGTGTTAATATTATGTCTAGTTGTATTGTTTCTTGGTAATTTCAATAAATTCGATTTAGACATTTAGACATTAATGCAAAAGACGATGATGGGTTTGACGGTTGTCATAGCTTTTTGTGCCCTCTCTTCCAAACTAATTTTATCTAATTCGAACATCAAATGAATAATAATTTCAACTTTTTACATTAAAAATTACAAAGGTCGTCAAAGTAAGTATCTTTCACAGTCCTATTCCTCCCCATTTTTAAATTCCTTTGCGCTCTCATTGAAGAGCTGAAGTTTCCGTAGCAGTAGCTTTATTTCTATGGGGTGGGATTGCTATTCTCATATCCAACCTACTCTTCTTGCCAGGCTTATTACCAGCTTAAGCGAGGTTTGAGGGCGCATCAGCCAGAGATCTAACGCTGAACCACCTGCGTGGTTGGCAAGCACTTCACCCCTGCGCCACTGACACACTATTTCTCCCTGAGGCTAATAAATATTTTCAATTTGAAAAACTTTATTCCAACAAAACCCCTTTCGACTTTGTGTTTTTGTGTTTATCTCAAAATTTTCATTAACTAGGCTGTTTCTCTTCAAGAACGAAATCATCCAAATGGAAATTTTACATCATGTTTTAGTTATTTACTTTATACCATATATCTAACGTATTTTAGCATTGCGAAACCTAAAAATTATGTTTAATCCTTGACTATCAAAAGTTCTTAAAGTATTTTAGTTCACGGAGTAAAACAAGCGGTTAATAAGTAAGAAGACATAACCGACGACATAAACTTGGTTCAGCTGTAATGAAAGAAAGGTAAAAAGAGAATTACATACTTTGAAATAATACAACATTAGAAATACCAATGACGAATGATTAACCCTATCCAGGCAATAATGAAAACGAAACACGTAGTTCAGCGAAGAGGCTTTCTTCAGTGAATTCATTTGCTTTACCTCTACAACTGCATTTATATTACATCACTTCATGAAAAAGAGTAGTAACAAAAGGGGATTGATGTCAATCAATACATAAAAGGAATTGAATAAGTGTTTTTGAGTTAGGAAATAAGATGATTAATTTAATCTATGAGTTGTAATCAGGATGCTCACAGAACAAACGAATGGAAATATGGAGTTATATAAGAGTTCTAAAGAAGTACAACAATTATAAGGGGTTAGAAAAACAAACGAAAGTCAAGCCAGTAGAAATCAACAAGACTGTTACTATAACAGCAGAATTCATTGAATAATTTTCTTTTGTATGCATAGCTTCGGTTTTTTCTGTCTTAATGGCTAAACTTTCAGCAATGCAGACAAGGCGAAAGAGTATGGCATTTGGGAGGTTGTTCTCCGCTTTGTAGATTATTTTGAAGGAGGAGGAATTTGTTGAGATGGGAGCATCAGTTTTGTTGTTAAGGTGTTCGATTATCGCACTCCTTATACGGCCGCTACCATCTTTCTGCAGCCATGTGGAATAGTCTTCTTCAATTCTTTTAGACAGCATGCGCATCTAATGACAAATAAATCTGGCTCTACATCAATAGGTGAAGTGATGCATGTACACAGAAGTGATGAGGTGCGAGATCTTTTCCTTCTGCTTACCGATTCACGACTGGAGAACACTACTTTTAGTGTTGCTGCTAAGAATGTTCTTCATCTAAAAGATGATGAAATTCTCCTTGTATGAATATCGCAGGTTAAGTCTCCTTTAAAATTCAGATTCATGTAAAGTTTTTTTTCTCGGAACAACACCCTAATACACTTATGCAACTCCTCTTATGCACTGACTAATATAAACAACTATCATTATGATATCTCATCACATTTTACTACCCTCTCCCATGAAATGCTATTGTACGGCTAAAGAAAATGAATTTATCGGAAAAAGCCTCTTCTCTTAACTACATATTTTGTTTTCATGAATGATCAGCCAACACGGACAATGTATTTTCAGAAGAAAATTGATTTGCATTCACTCTACACACCCTCTGACCAAATTTATAGTAACCCTGCGAAGAAATTCATCACATTTCAAGAAACACTATAGTGATACATTCATTTAGGCAGATGTTTGTAAAATATACCCAACTAAATATTTCATTTAACGAGAAGTATTATTTGTCTGAGGGACTTATCGACAATTCATTACGAAAATTAGGCATATTTGTGGGAAAAACATCTGCGTTTAGCTAAGCGTAACAAAAAGAGTGAACCATTTATTCATTATACAATTGGGAAACATATCATTTAACGACTCGAATATCTCAATGAAAGTAATGGACAGAAAAGGACGTATTTTAAATCCTGCTATTATTTTATCAGAATACAAACACTAACATATATTGGCAGACTGTCTAAAATGTATACTTGCCAAATCCATTAAAATAATTAATAAGGATATTTTACATATCTCCCATATTATTGAGAAATTGTGAGGAAATAAGTCCCAGTCAAACCTGTAGCAGTAGCAGAAAGAAAACAAAGTAAATCACTTAATTTGTTTATGCTTTAAACTACTGATTCATCTTTGAAGAATTCAGTGCAGGACAAAACTTAGTTACTTAACTTTGAAAATACGACAGATAATTTCATGTATTTCCTCTATCTTGGCATTTAGACTTTATGCGTAAGTTAGTTTGAATGTAGATGTAATGCAAGCAACACATAACTACCAAAAGCACCACATTTTTTGAACACTTAGCAATAGAATGAACAGGCATTCAGCTAGAATAACTAACTCTGAGTCATTAAACCACCACAAATTGTGTGATATCAGAAAAACGTTAATTAAATTACACTGTTAAAGAGCTTAATGGAATGCATTTGTATATATATATGCTATTCTCAATATTAGATGTAAGCAATCCACGACATTTATTAGACAAGGAAAATTTTTAAACACCTTTCCATATAGCTCCGTTTTAAAGTCATAAAAGTACAAGATTGGTAAATGTGATTGATTTATGTTCTCAGCGCTTTGAGATGCACAATTTTTCTTCTGATCTATTTACTGATCGTGTTTATTCATTCAAATGCTATATAAATAGATCACAGTGATTCATTTTAGTCAAAATTGTTGGCAAAAAATCACAGCGAATTTATCATTATGGGATCACTAACCTGCTAAAAAATTCTTTTGCTATTTCACAGAGTCATTATGTAAGTGATTCATAACAACGACAGTAAACAAAACGTTTACTAACGTATTAAAGTCCTACATACTGGAACTATTTTCACTGTAACTGCTGTAGTGTTCCTTCTAGAGCTAAGCAACACTTATTTGTTTTCTTACCTATCATTCAGCATGTTGAAATTATTCTAAATTCTTTCTGAAAACAAGCAAAATACATCCAGTGAATGTTTCTCTAAGACTATGCGAAATAACTACAACAAACTGACCTACAAATAACTAAAAGATGATGTTTCCTCTCAATGTTGATGTGGAATATTTATCCCTTACAGTTGTTCAAATACTGATGTCAGAAAGAATTGTCTTCTTGTATTTTATTCAGAAAGTAATAAGTAATAATTACAATATTTCTGACGACTTATCCAATCTGTCAAAAATAAGAAACATAGATTATAAAACTTTAAGATGGAGATCATTTGTGAAATAAGGAATTACTCACACAGAAAGCCATTATTATTCGCATTAAACTTATCCAACCATTATGCGGTGGCTGTCACAGTAATGACTGAGGAAACAAATTTTGTTGTTGGTCAAAAACGGCTAAAGACAAATTTTCTTGGGCAGAGTATGAAAATAAATGCCTACAAATAAAGCAGGATAACACAGAACTATTATTGTCATTCAAGTATCACAAACACTAATTAAATCTCGAGCTTGATATGAATTTTGCTAAGGTAACACATAGCTACCAAAAGCAGTTCGATGTTATTTAAAACAACTTTACATTTATGAAATGCTCAGAGTTAGGCTGATCATGCATCTATACAGAATTGCTTTTGTTTATTTAGACAGAAAGACTACCCTTGGGTGGAAACAGACAAGTTGAAAACATTTCAATTATTTGAAATTAGCTTACAAAACTTACTTGCTTCGTCTAATTTCTGTATGAATGATGACGCAGCAATGTAAAACCTTGGATACATGTTCAACTCTGAAGAAACACTGTTAACTCCAGTCCTTCAATTATGTGTTTAGTGAAAAGTGAGTTACTATATTTCAAAGCATTTATCCATATGATTGTAAACTGTACTATGTGAGACTGATAGTCAACAAGTGTTGAAAAGAAATCCAATAGTTTATATTTCTTTCATGTTTTAACATAATAAAGTACAAAGCCGTGAGTTACAGATTTGAAAAACCTAATTTTTTAGGCGTTCTTTAGCAAGGAGTTGACAGATGTTGAGGCTAACTAGGAATGTTTTTCAGTTAAAGAACCACCGAAAACCGTGAAGCACAGGATAGCTGTTCCATCCCTTCTTGAGACTCCTCACCATTACACACCGATGATTCCATCAGCGAACGAACCCACAGCCTTGAAGTTTCAAAGCGATTTCGTAGCCCACTGAACTACTGGGATGGAATCCAGTGGCTCAATAGGCTAGGAGCTCGCCTTTTAAATTGAAGGCCATGCGTTTGACTGTTGGTGGAGTCATGGGTGAGTACTGCCATAACTTACGTGTCTCATGATGGCTGGAGTCAGAATCCAGGACGTGAGTAATGCTCTATTTAAAATTCGTCAACTGGATCTTCACTATCCACGAGGAATAATTAAGTCCCTGAACAGGAAAAAGCTCTCTTTCTCCACTCTACTTCTAGCCACTGGCAAATGAGTACCTCCTATTTACTATTTATAGTAACATACTGACATGTGTTCAAAAGATCACTTCGATTGGTAATTTCAGTCCATAAACATTTACCAGAACTCATGAATATGTATGAGTACCAAAAATATGTGGGAAGTAGAAGAAAATTCACTGTTTAAAAGTGTCGGTATACTTTGAAAATCACTTACCGTCATAGGGAGACACTGAAATCGAGACGAATGGTTAAGTGAATTAGTTCATATCTAAATAGCAACACAACAAAAATTAAGTGTACAATTAATAATAACAAAAAACAATTTAAATAGTTTTTTGCGACTTGGTCTTCTGAACACTCTCTCGATAGCACTTTTGTGTTATTTTTTGCACCACTTGATTTCGTTGTTAGTATTCCGTCCATTTCATTTTTTATATTAGCGAAACTTTCTGCGGTGTGTAAATTTCAACATCAATTTTTGGTGCTTTTTTATTTAAATATTTTCAGTTGGACGTAAGAAATGTTCTCTTCTTTCTATGTTTTGTTGCATTATCAATGTGCTAAAATTTGAGCCACATTGCCGAATGATTTGGTTACCTTCTCCACAGATCATACAGTTGCCTATTCTAAAATATCAGCAACGAAATAAGTCTTGAAGTCAAACACCCTACACAAAACGCGCGCTAAATATACTCTTAAAAATCAGTATTACTTTAAGAAAGAATAACACGTCATCTAAAATCTTCACTCAACCACTACATATGAGAAATCCTTAGGCTGTTGTTTGAAGCCATATCTGTTAGACATAAAACTGTACAGGAATAAATTAGAACAGATGAAAATGGAATTTAGTATATATGAAACAAAAGAGAGAGAAGAATAAGACAAAGTTTTGAACTATATCTCAACAACCAGCTGAAGTATTCAAGCAAAATGATCTGCAGTAAATCGTTACAAAACACTCTCAATCCATTACCAAGACAATAAACATTGGTGCAGAACAAGATAAAATTTGAACAGCAATAGGTCAAAAATTCTAATTTCATTTATCACATTCTGTACATGTTTGTCTTAATCTTTGGCATTCAACTACCCCAACTATTTCCTCTCTACGGTACTTTTCTTCAGATGAAAAGCGTAAGCAACATTTTGAGTTTGACATTTAAAAAGTTGTCTTTTGATTATTTTCAATGGAAGTTAGGTGTGTCACTCTTCTTCGACTAAAGCATTTTCACGTACACAAAATCATAATGAACATAATCAACAAAATGTCACTATGCTATATTTTATATCTTATTTTGATCAGTATGTTGACTCATATAGTCACACAGTCACTTAACAATTGAATACAACTTGTATTCAAAGCAAATTACTTAGAATTATCCTTTAGTTTACTCAGTTTCAACTGATTTGTGTCTCCAGCAGCTGTAAACGACACGTTATGTAATAATATAATAATCACACTTTGCAAGTGGTCGCCTCAATATTCTGCATTCAACTGTCTCTATTCTTTCCATTCATTGATTCATTCCCTATAGTTAAGAAGAGTAAGTTGCCTATTTACACTTTAACATGAAAATGCCTTTTCATTGTGAACAGAATTTTGGTACAAAGTCCTTCCTACAATCAAATATAAGAAAGTCTTTTGCACTTTTTTAAAGGTGTATATCCATTTGTCGCATTGCATAAACTCTGTTACCAATCTAGCTAAGATCAATTTATGCCAGATGACGTTTTGGCTTCTAGCTTTGTTTGAATTATTTGATTTGCATAAAGAAGTTAAGGAACATAATTCATTTGGATGTCTGTTAATATTCCAGTAAAAAATGCATTGAAATATTCTGAATTAAAACTAAAAACACTTATTCTTCGACTTACTAGTTGCTCAAGGTAAGTGAATGGAATCCATTTATAAAATATGAAAAATTATTTTATTTTTGTGCTAAATATTCAACATCCCAATTTCGATGGATTTCCCTTATGCAAATGCAAATGCAACACTACAGTACTTGAATAAACCTTTTATTTTTCAATGAGGAATCAACCTTGAACTAACAGAAAATAAGGGATAAGTACAAAATGTATGATAACCTCCTGAATTACTGAAAACTGTAGCATGAAGCCTTTTGTGTGACCATACACAAACTTTTCAAATATTTATCAGTAAATTGTTTGAAGCCTAATTTAAGTTAGTTTAATTAACACCTCACTAAGGGAATGAATCAACTGTTTTAGTTATCTCCTTCAAGTCATTTGATTTATATTCATCTCGTTTTTTGACATAATTAATTCCTCTATTATCAGACTCATCCTTATTTTTTTAAATAACGTCCTTTCATCAGAACTCATCAGTAAGTTGATATCTTCTTGAAAATTGTGTCTAGAACTTGTAAAGTCTTAGGCCAAATTTTTTAAATTTTTCATTCATTTACGATCCCAGTGGAAAGTAGGGAAGTCTCGTTAACAGTGATGTTTATTTTTACAGGGTGTGTTTGCCAGCCTCACGCCCGACCTTCTCTCTTTATCAGTCTTATTACTGGCTTAGCGAGGTGAAAGAAGACGTCGGACGGGGATCGAATCTAAGACCATATGCGTCGTTGGCGAGCATTCTACCACTCACGCACAGTTGAACCACATAAGCGATAATATTTCGATCAGTTAGTTGTATTGTTGTGGAAGACCGTCATTCAAACTTCATAGTTATCAGTACTCATCAGTGTGGTGTTACCAGTGGTAATGTTTACGGTTGCAACATGGACTGGCTTATGTTACTACCTATTAGGAGAAATCCCTTACCATGATGTTGCAGATGAGTAATACTATACATGAAACTTAATTGCAGGATTTCTTGTTGATTGTCTCTAAACACCAAAAATCACCAATATGATCAGACACTAATCCTCATGACGGTATTGCATACTAGACTGAGAGCGCTTTGGCACAGCTAAGGAGCAGATAACATGTGATGGTGTGAGTATCTGTTGCTTGATCTTAATGGCTTACCGTTGATTCAGGTAGCTGTGTTGTAGTTCTGTCATACTTGTTGTTTATTATCCGCATTTCAGTAGTGCTATTATTCGTTTCAAAGTTCTGAATGAATTGAAGTTTTCTGTTATTAGTTGGTCAAATTGAATTTATTCAATAAATAATAATCTTCCTGCCTTAGACAACTTTAGGAACGTTATCATTATATAATACAGTATCATTGCGTGGTTTTCATCAAATAAAAGTATTCATTAATGGTCTACTATAGTATTAGCTACTACAGTGTTAAAATTCCACTCATACCAGAATTACTGGTAGCGCGGCTATGCAACATGAATATTCAAAAATATTATCTTACCAGTAAAATGTGACTGTCGTTTAAGGAATCTAAAGACTGTACACTAAGATTAATATATTTCAATAACTATTTTCTACCTTGCAGAAGGCATATGTGAGTTCTTGAGATATGACTGTTCAATCAGTTTTTAAACTACCAAATGTTCCACAAAATATCTAAAGAAATCTTCAGAGAAGGATATTACATAAATTTCCTTGTTGAGAAGAATATTTTACTAAATAAAAAGAAACTATGAGAATGAACAGGCAAGAACCTATTGCACAACAAATATCCCAAAGAAAATGAAGATGGGTCGGGCACCAGACTATTCCCCGAATGGAACCCGCATCAGAATCGACCAGTTGGAGATAGGTTAAGGGCTGACATTGGAGGAGACTGTGTGATAATGAGATGAAGGCTAATGGTCAATTGTAAGGCAGCTGAAGAGGACTGCAGAGAACCGGAAAAAATGAAGATGGGCTGTTAAGGCCTTTTTTGGCACTCGGAACCTAAAGGAATCGCAATACATTTAGGTTATTTTACAGTGGTTTGACGATATTCCCAGCAAGTGAATTCATTGAACCTCAATGGAATCATAGTATTCATACGATAATCAAGCTATGACCAGCATAACATGAAATGAGGATTTCCATTTAGAAATCTTTTGCAGACTTATTTTAAAAATAGTGAATTTATAAACATATGTGATGTATTTAAACATTCAGTGTGGAACAGACTGTTAGCAGTGGACAGTTACAGTAATGAAAAACAGTTTTTTAATTGCATCAGAAGTAAAAACTCAACGTTGTACACGGATGAGACTTCAGACTGCTCAAAGGATATGTAGGAGCAATGAAAGTCAACTTTTTAGTATCAAATCGAACAAAGAAATGCTGTCGATGATAATTACAGACGCAAATGGTAGCCATCGCTGGAGAAATGGTGCATAAATCGAGATAGAGAGTAAATATATTTCTTGTTAGTATAAAAACTTAAACATCATTCTCTTAATCTCAAGTGTCTGCTAGAATTTAGAGCCATAGTGGATAGGTCACAGAAATACAGAAGTCTGTCAGACAGCTTTCAATTGGAAATAACTCTTGTTTTGCCACCACTAACAGATACTATGAGACACAACAGAAGTGGAGTTTTATCTTAATAAACCCATGAGACCAACAGTATACGATTTGTATCAACTAATATAAGTATAGCTGAAGTACAGCGGATTTAATCACTATTCAAGCTGATAAGGACTGATTTTGAAAAAAGTTAATGGTTGAACATTGGTTAAATGTAATATTTACAGTGACAATCATGAAATATTTTTCATTGTTCTCAAAAAAAATTAAAAATCCCCTTTTGGATGTGAATGTCTCACTGCTATAGAGGGAAGTTAACCATCATTTGTCTACAGGTTATGTATGCCGCGAATAAATATCATAAAATCTTATGCTTCTGTTATGTAGTGTTCAAACGACTTTATTTGTCTTAATAAAATTTCCATAGCTCTTTGTGGTAAGCGTACCAGTTAACTCATAATTAAATTAATACGTTCCCTCTTCTATTATTAATATGTATCATAGGGGCAGATATTTCTTCATTAGTTACTAGTAATTCCTGAATTTCAATAAAGGTATAATAACCTCCTTCTTCTCGAGTAGATACTGCTTAAGTCATATTTCCCGCTATGTATACTTCAAGTAGTTTTCGTACTCCATGCAATTTCCTACATGACAGGACTTTTCTCAACTAGTCTAATAAACTTTGACTTGAACATTTTATGAATTTGATAGTCTAAACTATTGTTTTAGTAATAACACTGATGATGAAGTCTGGTAGTCTGCAGTGACGACGCTTCCCAGAGGAAAATTTTATGAAAGTGGTAGTTTTAAAATAACCACAAAGCGCTTACATCTAAAGGAAACATTGATCAGATTGTGCGCATTTTAAGTGTGATACATAAGTAATCTAGAGAAAAGTGATAACTTAACCACACAGTAACAACTCATCATGCGTCTGAGGGATTGTAACTACTAAGTTTATTGGGATTTCAGGCAGAAATAATGCAAAGATGTTTACACAGGACATAAATACATTCACTGATTCTTGTTAAATATCTTGTTCGAAACCTTAAGTATTTGAGAAAACAAATGGAAATACTATCAACCGATATTTACACTGTAAGCATAAACAATCAATGTGCTTTCTGTTAATCACTTAGTATTTGTAAGTGATTTTGCGGTTAGTAATGACTAAACTGTTCCAGTTGGAATCCTACTGTGTCCAGTAGGAAGCATCTTAAGACTGGATGTGGCTTTCAGTAAAATTTGTGTGAATTTCATGCATGCTTAGCCCTGATATCACTACCCCTGGCTTATTTTTTGCATAAATCTTTTCATTTGGCTTCTCATCATTGCTGTGTTGAAATCGACGGTAAACAGTTTCTTACTTATAGCATTTTACACAAAGTTTTACCGACAAGCATGCTTTGATCGCATAACATATGTAGCAAAGAAGCAAATCCTTTACTTGATTATAAAAGCAATGAAACCAATACTCATTGTGCACCATCTTTTGATTACAACACATCTACTTTTTACCCGGAGTTGGCAAACTGGTAAATCCCTCAAAGAAGTAACATCTAAACATTCTACACTTCAGCAATTTTGATACGTGAATGCCCACTGCTATTTTACAGATAAGAGAGATACTGGTTTTCTCTTTCTGCTGACTTTGTAGTACTTGAAAACACAATATTTTATTCCTTTCGCATGTGACTTTTAATTCGATGTGATACCAATTCAATTTAATATTGTGTGGGTTTTGTTAGTGACGGCTTTAAGAAAAATCTTCAAAGGCGTCTATTAAAACTATACTTGTTATTTTAACACCATTCAGATAGTGGAAGTAAGTACTGATTGCCGATAGCACAAGTGCTGTGAGCTGTTATTTTTACCGTAAACTCAATTGATCTCCTTTTTCCCATGAACCGCTTAAGTCTCATTTTCTTGGAATAAAAAGTAATTGGCAAAAATAGCATTATGCTAACATGGGTGTGAAGTCTCAAGAAAGAAAACTTCGATAACGTTTTCCAAATAAATTTAAATACACTTTTCTAATTCACTAAAATAAACTTCTGCGGAACGTTGAGCTGCGAATTTTTAAAGTGCGATAATTTTTCGATTATTCCACGAAAACAAGGTATTCTATCATCTTGGGACTTTAGCAGAAGATCACTTCCTGGATAACTTTCCGAACAGAATTTATTGTTTACTTGAGTTTCATAGTTCTCTTTATTCCTTCTAATTCGTCATAAAGTTCATAGCAAAATCTAGATTCCTAGTTATTATGCTACTTTGTTCGAGTTTTACCCATCCCCCATGTCATTTTAATTCCTAATTGTAATTTTTTATTAATTTGACCCCTAACCAGAAATTATTCTGGAACTTTCCTATCCATTTGATATAAATACACGAATGTACAGCCTAGATGATGACTTCGTCGAAAAGAAAATTTTCTTCGCTGCAATTGTCTTTTTATAAAATCTAGATTATTTGACGCTAATAATGTGGAGAATAGTTCAGTTATACCATTATGTACACTTATACACAAGCATGCAATAGGATGGGACAAGATGACAATTTTAAATTCTAATGTAACAGGGTGGAGGGGAGAGACTGATAACTGACTGAGGCTTTATGTATTGAATCAACTGCACACACGTGTAATAGGAATGACTCAACACCCGTCTAGCCGGACATCTGGGAAATTCTACTACCCATACGACGAATAGAAAGGAACAAAGGAAACTATAAAACGGAAGTTTCGAAGTTGGGTTGTTATAAGTGATATGATTATGAACAATAAAATGTGTTCAAAACGTCTTCCAGTAAATAATACTTCTACACTGTGTGATATATTTAGTAAACAAATTAAAATGGGGGTCTAGAATTTTCAAGAAGTCTGGAACATGTGTTTATTCATTCTAAAGAACATCAAAGACATTTTAGTAAAATCCTAAGACTTCATAAAAGACGTATTCAATCATTGCTTGTACAGGATATTTGAGTAAGTTTTCACTACAATGATTATTAACAACTCTACACTACCTTTTACTTTCCATCACTTAATATGAAATGGAAATTGTGTCTACGTTAACCGTAATAGAGGGACTCATTTACACATGTAACTGCAATAAAGTTCATACTTCTAAATTAGATATTACAGCTATTTCGATAATATTAGTAGCTGTTATTTGATGAATTTATAAACGTTTAATGATGTGTTTCTTGATGAAACTACCATTTCACAGGTTATCCGCACAGATCAATCTATGCAGAAATCTTAACCAAATCTGGCATAATTAAATATGAACATCGCTTTGTCAAAGCTACAGAACTTTGCTGATTTTAACTCTCTGTAGAAATTATTTTAATTTTAATTAAAAAAGTAGTTACCTTTGTTTCAAGCAATCTCATTCAAGCTCCAACTATTTGATAAATAGAGAACCTCAGTAAGTTTACAATTTTGTTTCTTTTATTGATAATTTTGTGAAAATGGATAAGTGAAAACGGCAATAATACAAAGCAATGCCACATAATAATGACGAGAAACTGTGAAGAGTGATTACCAAAGTATGAAACATCATGAATAATCGGTTGGAAATATAATCTTTGCCATGACACACAGTTGAAACGTTATTATCCCTTTATCTAATTCGAGCTATTTTATGCTGGTCCTGAAACCAGTTTTAAAATATCCGCATCAACTTGCAGCTGCTAGAAAGTGCTAAATTATTCCAAATTTCCAGATAACTAGATCAATATTCATCACATTATTTAGTGAATACTGAATCAAACGTCCAGTGCCCACAGTGTTGCGCTTCCGAATTTAACATATCAAGATGGAACAAATTACAATACCTTATCCATATGAATAGCTGAAGAAAAGAACATAATGCCCCTGAATAGTCATTAGCGTAAAACACTGAAACGATAAAAGTCACAACTACTTTCCACAAACTCGTTTTTAAGAACGGTATCTTAAAATTCTTTTGATTTTTGTTCTTCAGGGTCTATGAATAGTGAGTGAAAAATAAGATTGTTAGAACTTTATTACTGAGAAGAAACTCCTATATATCACTTTGTCAGCCACATTTGTTACACGTGGATTGATGATACTATCCAGTTTCTCGTGATAAAATAGTAAGACGAGGATTCGGGCTCAGGATATACTGGTTAAAAGTTGACTGATGAAGCCAATGAGCCACAACTCCAATTTGTAAACTAAAACCGTTACTGGACTAGAAACTAAAAGCAAATAAACACATTATTTGACTTTTACACACATGAAGTTAATTTTATGTTTCAGCTGTACTCATAAATTTCCACTGTATTGTTTACACTGCTAACCGATTGAGATGCGTAGTTGTTTATCATTCATATAAACCTGTAGCGTATGCTGGTCAGATCAAGGTGATCTAGACATCAGAGCTCATTTGGAGCTAAGCTCAACAAAGCTGCACCCAGTTTGTTTCAGTTCAGAAAGCCAAATCAGTTCAAAACACCCGATTTTTGGCTAGCTACTTGGTTGAACTGGTTATGCCACAAATCAAATTTACAATTTGCAAATTGGTTAGGAAATTGCAATCTTCACAGTCCGAGTGGCGAAATTTCACCATGGTTTCCTTTGCTTGGGCAGGTGGTTTGAACTGATTTGGTTCTTTGAGCACAGTGGAACCGGGTGCAATGCGTATGAGTTTGGCCCCAAACGAGAGAAACGGTGTTTGGATCACCTCTTTCTGGCTATTTAGCACCACAGGTTGATATGAGTGGAATGCAAATATTTATCTCAGCTGATCAGTAATACAAAGTTTTACATAAATACGCTTGCTATCTTGACTACCATTCATGGTCTCAGGCAAGAAACGTACTGCGATCTGAATATTTTGATTTCCAAAGGAAAATATGGTGAAATTTCATAACTCGAACTGTGTAGATTGCACACTGATAATCACGTGCTTCAAAATTCACAATCCTTTTGAATATGCAAAGAGTGGCTTCGCTAGCATTTTCAGTGGGGCTAACTATGTGAATAGTTCACTGAAGTAATTATTAGTCATAAAGATATTTCCATATTTTTAGCCAGTACTTAAAAAAGACATAAAGTGATAATAAACGTTTTGAACACACATTAATGATACGTTTTTATTGGTTGTATTGAAGATGGAGGTAAGTGGATTACAAACTCTAACACACAGTTTGATGAATTCTCTATTTTATTTTACCACATGCAACAGAATGTAAATATTTTCAAATGACCAATAATGGACAATAAATTGTAGGCCTTTGAAACACAAATTTAATTCAAAAACATACACTGCTGTGTTTGTTATCTAACTTGCTGTCTAACAAAAGTGTAAATTAGTAGTTACGCACATGAGCTACTGTTGCTGCAGAACAAAATATTCTAAGGCTTGACTTCAAAAGCATTTGCGTACTACTTGACTCCACGAATTTTAACATAGCTTTACCGAAATTCTATCATCTATGCGCCTAATTAAATGACTGTGTTCCACACAAGAAAACATCTAACACAGTGAAACAGCATCCGCCAAATCTCCCTAGAATTCTGTAGTAAATTATTATCCGTCTGCGATAAATTTTAAAGAATTCAGCCAAGTTATAAAAATGCCTCTAACTGTTTACTTTGCATCGACACAGATATTCAGTGAAACTACAAAATGTGATAAGTGTGAACGATCACTGATCCTTCTTACATATATACATGTATAATATGGGGTGTCTACATATTACATGAAAAGTCCTGTAGAAAGAACAGTGTATTTGACAAAGAAAATCAGTATAGAATGCTATTTTATAATCTCAAATGATGTCTGTCACGATACATACTATTAATTTTATAATTTGTTCGCCTTATTTTCAAGATGGCAGAAGTAAGTTTCCTGCAAATATTAAACTAAAGAGAACATTACAAATCTGTCGTTAAAAATAAAAGTATGAATTCCTGCACAGTAAAGACATTATGGAAACTAATCCTTAGTAAGTGCAGCCTGATGTCGTTTCAACTACAGGTGGCGAGTATGAAGATGTAAAAGACAGGATCCGAGAGGCAAGACACACCTTCATTAAATTAATCTCAAGTAAGTGTGGAAATCTTCCACACTCAGCACAAAAGACAAGAATCAAAATATTCTTCCCTATAGATTTGAAACTTACCGCATCACTAAAGGCACCTCCAACAATCTACTTCTGGCTTTTATCAACAGCCAATCTCGCTCCAACTGAAGAAAAGATGGCTAGCCCGAATGGATAAGTAACGTAAGACTCTGGCAATGAACCAATCAAGAAGCAGTTGCTTGACAAATATGCCGAAAGAAATGTATTAAAGAATCGCTAAGGAAACCGTTGGGTGATATCACATGCCAGTCTCTTTAGTGGGACCAGAATCGGATACCACGAACTGGGTATCAAAGGGTGATATGTAATAGACAGTGTGTGAAGGTGATAAGATCTTAAGGGAAATCATGAAGCCAGATAAAAAGATCTGCAGAGCACAGGATGAAATGGAGACGTACTGTTGAAACCCTATGTACTACATGGAATATAAGGGAAAAGTAGTAATAATTTGCAGCCTAGTGAGAAAACAAGCTTTTGTTGTCAGATGAAACTATCAAGACAGTGTCTCACTACTAAAATTAGGGCAGTTTTTAACTAAGAAGGTAATCTGTTTCCGCCTAATACACACACTGCATAAGCCAATTTAGCTTTGTTAACGTTGGCAGAAATCCGCTTTTCTAGGTGAATTCATGCTTGACCACCTGTCATAGTCCGGTATTTTCCGAATGCTTTCTGAAGTCAATGATTTCTTGCTAGTTCCATAAATTAGAAGCAGTGACTGGAACAAAAGATTTGACCGAATAAACTTGATAGATACCATTACTTTAAGTGGAAAATATATGCTCTCATCTGATTATTTTGTGATGTCCAGTTTGCTGGCGCACACCACATCAAAATTAGAATCCACACGTCAAGAAGATTGTTTTACACACACAACATACTAAGATAAACTTCCAGAATATAAAAAAATAAAATGAGGCACTTTAAGACTTCAAAACAAATTACAGTTTGTAATTATTCATTTTAATTGACCACAAACAGAAACACTTCGTGAGTTTCCAATGGCTAATAAGCTTTTAATAATGATGAAAATGCAACGGAAGGAAGACCACCTCCTGAAACACACTACGCTGAAGTCCAGGATTGGAACAAAAATTAAAAATATGAGCCAAAACTTAAACAGGACATACTGAACAGATATTGCAGATCTGTGACTGAAGACGTTTTGATTCGCTTCGCAACTTGAGATGCAGTAAAATGATCAGTTATAATTATGTAAAGCAAGAAAATCAGTTGGTGAGGCTGAGCAGCCCCGTGGTTTCAGATAGCTGAAGCATGTGTTATGTGCGCTGGGCCTCTGTCATCAAAAGACCATAAGTATTAGCAGATCATGCGAAATACTGTATCTGATAATGCAAAACTGAAGATATGAGGTTTAATATAACCAGCATTATTTGTGGAACATCCGAATAACTCCAGTGTCTGAAGAGCTTGACAGAATCTATCCATCATTTATATACATTCCTAACTGACATTAAAGCCTCATGTATCAGAAGAATACCTCCATATGGATCTCGATACTTTTCCAGGGGGCTCTGACAATTCACTGAAGAATCTGCACAAGCAAACACACGTTGATTAGTTTCATTTTCTGTGAATCCAGCCGGTTTTTATATAAAATATAAAGGCAGTGATAATTAACGTCGAAAATGATTTGTTTTAATCAAAGTTAAAAATGTGTATGTCTTAACACTTCTATTTCTTCATTTCATACATAATTATCCCTGTAACAGAGGATATGCGTAAGTTCTTAATTTCGTACGGATAATAATTATTTAAGTATGGTGAATATTATGCGAAAATGTCGCATACCAGTGAATCTAAATAGATGTACTATGGAAAAATACGCATAATTCTGTTCCTAATTTGTTGTTGATTAAACGGATTTGCCTACTTTCACTTACTGAAAACCCGACATGTAGAACATGATAAATCATTTAGTGGACCAGTTTGTCGAACGACACGTTGGAATTATTCATTTCAATTTCGCTGAGGTTTCACAAACATAATTTTCGCATTTGCCTACTCGTCATTCGGCTCCCAGTTATTATGGAACTATTCTTTCAAATCTTGATCACAGTACATGTGAACCATTTTAGTGAAAAGCTTCTACCGCATTTATACAAAATATGAACAAATTTGATAAGCTTCAGAGATGACCCATATTGATATCTCTCCTGTAAAACAAATAAAACATACATTTAGCATGGAGGATTTCATCATGAGCTGACATCAGTTAGAGAACCACTGGAAAACCTGTGAGTACTGGACAGCTGTTTCATCCTAGTTTAGAACTCTTCAGCAGTACGCACTCACCTTCTGGTTACAAGGTGAGCTCGTAGACCATTGAGCCACTGGGACCCGATCCAATGGTCCTTGAATTCTAACTTACACCTATATATGCCTCAAATCTAGAATTCACCTTGAAAGGGATAATAGCAATAACCATAAAATGAAACTATCGGATTCTTTTCCGTTAGGGAAAATTTATGTTTGAGAAGATCAAAATCTCTCATTTATACATGCCTGAAAAATGAAATCAGCTATTCGTTAATGAACGATTCTGAAATAAATTTCCCAGGTTTTCCAGTGGTTCTCTAACTGACGTCAGCTCATAATGAAATCCTCCATGCAATCAAACAAAACTCCCTACAAAACCAATACTTGAACATACATTATGCATATCTACTAAGGCCAGAAATAAGTTTGTGACAACACATCCTAGTCACAAAAATCAACATGTGTTATATAGCGCTTAAAATACTTTGTCAGCATCAAGTATCCTCATTTCTACATACATTATACCGAATAAAGTTCCTTATACGGAAGTATTCTAAAACATTTAAACTCATTTTTGAAGTCACCAGCTTACAAAACCATTATGTATTTACTAGCACAGAAAGTATAAAATTAAGAATTTGAGAACTACCCAATAAAAGTGTGTTGCTCCTTTTGGTTTTAGTTGATTCAGCAAGTAAGTTGAAAATCTGATTTATTCATCAAACAGAATGCAGCTTTTTCCAAATAAACTCACATTTCTCCAACTATAACTTTCAGTTGTCTAATAATTTTATTTACGTATCCTATGAAATAACTAGTTCTGACAAGACCAGAAGAAAAAGAGGAAGTCAAAAGTACAACTAACTACGCTACAACTTCGTAGATATACAGTCAGTCAGTATAGCAGTAAAAGTGTACTTCTGATGTTCCTTCCGTTAAGGGATTTCTGAATATCTAAATAAAAACGTTAATTCACTTTTAATCTACTGAAACAGTAATATGAATACAGTAGTGGAATCTCGTTTCAAAAACAAAAAAATGAGTACTAGTCAAGAGGAACTAGTATTCAGCTTTATAAAGCCTTTTAAACTAAATCTAAGAAAATTTTGCGATTCAATTTAGTTCACCTACAACACTAAAAAGTATAATGAAACACCACACGAACTTCTACAGAATTTTATTATTCTCTAAGACATGATCATTTCCTCTGTGAATCTGCTTTCTAATGTAAAACAAAATTGTATTCTCTTTTACAGAACATGGAAGTGAGTGGTTAAGACTCTTATACTTGATAAAGTAACACAGCTATTTAATTTTACTAAATACGTCTGCAAACACTTATGTATATAAAAATAATTAGATGCTATCAATTTCATGCTTAGTTCGTATCAGATCTTAATATAATTCCACAGTTTTATTTATAAAGAAGAGTTGAGGGTAACATAGTCTGGCCGAATATTTTTAACCATGTTAAAATAAGAAAACAGTGTCCGTTATTTCTGTCTCTATGTGACATGTGCCACTGAGATGATTTATCAGCAGTATTAAAAAGAGACATCCATCAGTACAAAGAAATATCAAAAAGCGAAGAGATAGATTTAATATCAAAGACAGGAAATGAACCAAGATTGTAGAAAACCATTGGAGACACGAAAACACGACAAAGAAACACAGCACGAAGATCAGAAGTAGTACAACACGGATGATCTGTGAAAATCACATAATTCACTTATATAGAGATATCAAATTCCAGAAAAACATGCTGTTACCAAGTCTCTAGTCTTCGACCGTTACACCTATATATGCCTCAAATCTAGAATTCACCTTGAAAGGGATAATAGCAATAACCATAAAATGAAACTATCGGATTCCTTTCCGTTAGGAAAAATTTATGTTTCAGGAGGTCAAAGTCTCTAATTTATACATGCCTGTAAAATGAAATCAACTATTCGTTAATGAACGATTCTAAAATAAATTTCCTACAGTTTTGATGCAATATCTTGATCGATCGGGTTTATCATATCAGATAGAAGGGACGATATATTTTGAAATGGAAATGAAGATTTACTCGAAACCATTGGTTCTGGACCCGCTGGTTGAGTTGTAATTTGCTTTCCAAATTGTCTTACTGTCCTAGTCTCAATCCTTTACTGCTTCATGTACGAGGATTTGTACACCAGCCTCAAATAACTCTTCTTAAAAAGTAATTCTGTTTTTTGTTCTTTGGTGATAAAATCAACCGTGAATTCTTTAGGAATGGTTAGCAATGCTCATAGATTTAGAATGATTAGAAAAATAACTCACGAAATAAAAGCGATCAATTAAACTGGTAATACTTTTCTGTTATACGATTTTAAATTCAGTTCAATTCAGTAAGTTTACATTTATCACTTTGAGTTATCTCTCAAAAACAACTACATAAATTAAAACAGTTTGATGAAGCATTTGCTAAGGATGCAAGCTTTTCTCACATATTCTGATACACAAATAATCATTTGAGTGTTTTACGGGACGATTCATCTTTTTGGATGTACAGCTGTTTCAGGCAAATAGTTTTTTTATACGAGCTTGCCTTGCATTCGGAAGGTGCTGAGTTCGAGCCTCACTGCCTACGTACTACCGTTGAGTTTGTAACTAGAAGGGAAAAGCTATGCATTACTCCCTGGTTTCCAATGGTTCTGTAACTGAAATCAATCCGTGATCTAACTTGAAACAAGTAGAATCCCCACAAACTAATTCTTGAAACTAGTATTTTTCATTAAAAACTTACCACACAGGCAAATGGTGA